TATAAATGGAAAAATGGCCATTATGTTTTTTTTTTTAATTTTTTTTGTTTGTTTTTTAAAGATGGGGTTTCACCATATTGGTCAGGCTGGTCTCGAACTCCTGACCTCAGGTGATCTGCCCACCTCAGCCTCCCAAAGTGCTGGGATTACAGGCGTGAGCCACCGCGCCCGGCCAAACCCTACGCTTAACATATTAAATATCTCCTGGATTTTTTTTCTTGTGTGTACTTTACATACATTAGACAATTTTTTTTTTTTTTTTAACTTTTTTAGAGACAGGGTCTCATTCTTGCCCAGTCTAGATAGAGTGCTGGGATGTGATGCAACTAGCTCACTGCAGCCTCAAACTCCTGGGCTCAAACCATCCTCTCACCTTTGCCTCCCAAAGTGCTAGGTCTACTGAAATGGGCCACGAGGCACAGCCAGATAATAAATTTTTTGAACTAAAATCTTTTACACAAGAGAAAATCAACCCATCTAACCAATCTAAAGGAAAGCAGAGAGCCTCAAGTATTCTGGGTTATAATTAAATATATGAAACAATTTAATCTATTTAAGTGAAAATTTATAAAGTAAAACATAGGAGAATGTTTCCTATAGAAATAGATTTTTTACAAAGAATAAAACCAGATAAAAAACTGACCAAATAGCCGATACTTAATAACAAACAAATGATACACTTTATAGTCATATTCTCTGATACCAGGTTTTGCTCTAGAGTTAATGAGCCCCCAGTTCAGCCAGCAGTGTAATTCCATGGCATGTTCAGGTGCCAGTGGCAAAGCACTTGTCAACTACGATTATCCCAAAGCAGTGGTTCTCAAGCTAGGGCAATTATGAGCCCCTGAGGGTATGTGTTAATTGCTGAAGACATCTCTGGTTGTCACAACTTGGGGATATGCTCCTGGCATCTGGTGGGCAGAAGTGAGAGATGATGCCAAACATCCTGCAGTACATAAGACAACACCCACAACAAGGAACTGTCCAGACCAAAATGTCTATAAAGGCAAGGCTTAAAAACTCTATCCTAAAGAAAGAAAAGCAAGAGAAAAACTAAGAGATGTCATTTCTAAACTGTGCAGCCCTTATCAGACACATGACATAATAATCTTTAGGACTCTGGTCATGCAGACTCACCATGGAAGACCTTAAGTATGACACCTGAGGCAGCGTCCACACTTGCAGAGGACCTTGATGAGCCTTAGTCTGAGCCACAGCTTTCCTTCTGCCTTTGTATGTAGCATACTGATTTACAGGTTTATGCTAGTCCTTGTGATTATTTGGTCTGATTTTAGTTTTGGCAGTAAGGTATCAATTAAAAGTGACATTAAGTTTATTTTTGGGCACTCAATGTGATTTTACATTAACTTAATACAAACAGAACAAAGATATATTGCTAGGGATTCCGCCTATTAACCAGGATTCAATTTCCTCTTCTCAGGAAGCTGTGCTCAAGGAAGGAGGCAGTTCATACAATAACTAGTCTCATATATCCTGTGCAAACAAGCATGGGGAAAAAAAGGCAGAGATTTCCTTCTAACTAGGAGCCTGAGACCCAGAGGGGCAAGAAATTCTCAACACAGTGAAGGTAGGAAGGAAGGAAAGTTCATTCATCAGTGTCTGTACAAACTCACAGCACATGAGGAGTCAGCATGAAACAGGAACATATAAACCTAAGTTTCTAAAAATTTCTTTTTAAAGTCCACCAAGAGCTGAAAGTTGTTCACTAAATTCAGCCATCTTCTATGTATTCTATAAAATCATGGCAAATAAAGAGCCGTACTCGGCCAGGTGCGGTGGCTCACGCCTGTAATCCCAGCAATTTGGGAGGACGAGGCAGGTGTTACACCTCTCTACTAAAAATACAAAAAATTAGATAGGCATGGTGGCATGGACCTATAATGCCAGCTATCTGGGAGGCTGAGGCAGGAGAATTGCTTGAACCTGGGAGGCAGAGGTTGCAGTGAGCCAAGATCACACCATTGCACTCCAGCCTGGGCAACAGGGCAAGACTCCATCTCAGAGTGGGGTGGTGGGGGGCAGGAAGGAAGAACTGTACTCAAGCAGGCTGAGGTGGTTTATGCCTGCAATCCCAACACTTTGATAGGCCAAGACAAGAGGATCACTTGAGCAAAGAAGTTTGATACCATCCTGGGCAACATAGCAAGACACCATCTCTACAAAAAAATTAAAATGAGCTGGGTGTGGTGGCACATGCCTGTAGTCCCAGCTACCCAAAAGGCTAAGACAGCAGAATCACTTGAGCCTGGGAGGTCAAGGCTGCAGTGAGCTGTGATTGTGCCACTGCACTCCAGCCTGGGTGACAGAGGAAGAACCTGTCCCAAAAAAAACAAAAAAACTACTCTACCGATATAAAAGGATTTCATCAAAAACCTAGCAAAAAAGCTCTGATGACTTCATTCTCTCACTGAACAGGTGTCTCATTGTTGCTGGGGGAAAAAAGACCCCATTTGCTCTCACACTTGAAGTAAGGCAAAGCAAAACATGCAATTTGTTGATAAGTTAGAAATGCTTTAAAGGAAGATTGAGAGAGAGACAGAGAATAGCAGTTCTCAAACATTTTGTTCTCAGGATTCCCTCACACTCTTTATGGAGGATCCCAAAGAGCTTTTGTTTATGTGGGTTATATCTATTAATATTTAATGTATGAGACATTAAAACTGAGATATTATTTAAATATGTACTTATTCAGTTAAAAACCACCCCATTACGTTAATCAAAACAACATTTTTATGAAAAATAGCTATATTCTTAAATCTCTTTAATAGCAAATAGCTGTAGATTCTCGTGTCTGCTTCTGAAACCAACCTACTTTTATTTTAGTTGAAGGATATGAAGAAAATAAGGCCTCAGGTTTGAGCTGGGTGTGGGAGAAAAAAAATTAAAAAAAAAAAAGAAAAGAAGGTCTCACACAGGCATCCAGTTGGAAAAGGAAGAAAAACAATGATAGTCCTTTCAGATAAGTGTGGCTATTCTTCTTTGGTACTATGCCAAAACTCAGCAAGTGGTAGTTTCTTCAATGTTAGTTGCAAGGTGGAATGTAAAGCCCTATCAACGATTTTTTGTTTGTTTTTTTGAGACGGAGTTTTGCTCTTGTTGCCCTGGCTAGAGTGCAATGACGCGATCTCAGCTCACCAAAACCTCTACCTCCCTGGTTCAAGAGATTCTCCTGCCTCAGTCTCCCAAGTAGCTGAGATTACAGGCATGCGCCACCACGCCCGGCTAATTCTGCATTTTTAGTAGAGACGGGGTTTCTCCATGTTGGTCAGGCTGGTCTCGAACTCCTGACCTCAGGAGATCCACCTGCCTCAGCCTCCCAAAGTGCTGGGATTGTAGGCGTGAGCCACCACACACAGCCTCTCAACAAATTTTTGGTACTCTAGTATGTTAAAACTCATTGGTGTATCTTTGCCTTCTGGGTCTTCGACCCTGCACAACTTTAGAACATCAGACACTGGTCAATTTGGAAAGTATTCATTCACTGGTTACACAGGAGCGATCCATTGTTGACATAGCTCATTAACTAGTGTAAAATTCATATTAATTAATATCACCACCAATCTCATCAGAAAAGTCTGAAAGTTCTGGAAAGCTATCAAGCTCATGGTGGTGGAGACAGGTTTTCTAACATTCTACCTTTCACATTAAAGCACAACTGTTACCAGTGTTACAAATACTGTTAGCTTTTCCTCTGAAGTGACAGGCTCACTATGTTCATCTTCAAGAAAATGCCTGCCAAATACCTGAGTCTGAATAACAACTATTTATCCCTAAGCCATATTTTCAAGTAAAAATGTTGTTTCATGTAAAAACAGAGCTGCTTCAGCTCACAACTGAAACACATGCACAAGTGCTCTTCCTCAAGACAAGCCCTGTGCGTACTGCGGATGCAGAACTGCTTCACACACACTGCCTACTTCCTCACACAGAATCCAAAAATGACACAGTTTCAAGAAATATTTTTTTAGGCCGGGTGCGGTGGCTCATGCCTATAATGCCAGCACTTTGGGAGGCTGAGGCAGGTTAATCACCTGAAGTCAGGAGTTCGAGACTAGCCTGGCCAACATGGTTAAACCCCATCTCTACTGAAAATACAAGAAAATTAGCTGGGCATGGTGGCACGTGCCTATAATCTCAGCTATTTGGGAGGCTGAGGCAGGAGGATCGGTTGAATCCAGGAGGAGGAGGTTGCAGTGAGCCAAGATCGCACCACCACACTCCAGCCTGGGCAACAATAGTGAAACTCAGCCTCAAAAAAAAAAGAATTTTTTAAAGCTTCTGAAAGGCATTCTTGAGTAAAACTAGCGTTTTTGGCTTTGACTGCAGTACACGGTGGAGAATATAGTGACAACTAATACAGTCTGGCATCACTGCTTCAACAGTTACAAAGGTACCAGCAGTTTTATCCATGACTGTTTTTGCACCATCAGAACAAATGTCAACACAGTGAGAAAGGCCAATTAACAGCATGATTGTGCAAACACTCTGAGCTGATGGACCCTCTGTAAAAGTCTTGGGGATCTTCAGGGCCTCACAGACCTGCTTTGAGAACCACTGTATTAATGAGTAAGAGTGAAGCAAAGGTCAAGGTTAAGCCTGTATAAGAGAGGAAAAAAAAGGCTTACCCGTTGGAAAACTGACAAAAATAAATTTAACAGCATTAAAAATACTACAAAAGCTGATTAACTCCAGAATGGGAGATTTTAGGCCAAAATGTGTGAATAAAAATCACAGCCCCAGGTCAAAAGTGTGATGGGGCTGAAAATGAAAATTAACTTTATTCATTAATAGATTAAACAAATACTGATTTGTACTACTAAATGCCAGTAGACAGGCATAGCAGTAGTAAATAAAACAGAAAAAACAAAACAACCCTCTTGGCCGGGTGCAGTGGTTCACACCTATAGTCCCAGCACTGAGGCAAGGGGATCACTTGAGCCCAGGAGTTTGAGACCAGCCTAGCAACATAGTGCAATCACTACCTTTATAGAAAAAAAAGCTAGGTGTGTTGGTGAGCAGCTGTAGTCCCAGGTACTCAGGAGGCTGAGATGCAAGGGTTGTTGAGCCAGGGAAGTCAAGGCTCAAGTGAGCCATGACTGTGCCACTGCACTCCGGCCTGGGCAACAGTTTCCAAAAAAAAAAAAAAAAAAATTTAAATTAAAAAATGTAAAAGCCCCTCCTTTTGTGAAGCTTTCTTTCAAGTGAGGGAACACCAACAAATGAGGAAGTAAAATAATTAGAATGTCAGATGGTTATGCATGCCACGGAAAAAATAAAGCAAGAAAAGGAGACAAAATGTTGGCGGAGAATTATAATTTTAAACAATGTTAAGGTTCTCTTGAGCAACAACCTGAAAGGCATGAGGAGGCAAGCCTGGTGAATACCTGGGAGAAAAGCAGACGGGCAGGGGCACTCCCTGGTGCAGGTCCTAAGGCAGGAGTGTGTCTGGTCTCAAGCAGTGAAGGGACGTGTGAGGTCAGCGTAAAGTGGAGAGCAGTGACAGGAGTTGAGCTCAGAGAGGACGGCGGGAAGGCATAACATCAAGGAGGACCTTGCAGGCCACTCACCCCGAAGAGGCCAGGAGCCACTGGAGGGTTTTGAGTAGAGGATCACCCTGGCAGCTGACTGATAACAAACTGCGGAATAAAGCGGTAGGGAGTGGAAACTGAGGAACTGCTTAGAAGTCAACCGTAATATCATCAAATAGAAGTGTTATATATGTGACTAAAAAATAAAAGAAAGAAAGAGGTCAACTGTAGTAACTGCAATTGCATAATCCAGGGTGATGGTGTCCTGAACCAGAGTGACAGTAATGGAGATGATTGGATTCTGGATCTACACTGAAGACAGGACCAACAGCTTTTCTAGTGGATTGTATGAGCAAAGAAGCAACAACAACAAAAAAACCCTCCAGTGGTTTTGGCGTCAACAGCTTGAGGGATGGAGCTGCCATTGACTGAGTGGGAAGACCACAGGTTGGGGGAGGAGGGTATGTGGGGGGGAAAGCTGGTGTTCTGCTCTGGACAGGTTAAGTTTGAGATGCCCATCAGCTATCCAAGTGGAAATGTCAAGGAACAGCTGGATACGCAAGTCCAGTTCAGAGCAGAGGTAAGGGCTAGAAACGTCAATGTGACAGTTATCAATATGCAGATGTGGTTAAAGCCAGGAGACTGGACAGATCACCCAGGGAGCAAATACAGAGGCTTCTCTACATTAATAGAAAGGTCAAGCCCAGACGAGAAACAATATTTGCATAGATCAGATAACAGCTGGGGTTCCACATGTAGCTTAGGTATCAACCTCAAAGAAATAACTACAAAACATTAACCAGGACAAGCAGGTTTCCAAATCCACTCGGCTCAAGCTGTTTTCCCTAGCACTCCGCTGGAACTACTCGTCAAGGTCAGTGGCGCTCTGCATCATGCCAAAGTCAATGGTCTCTTTCCTGCCCTCATCTTACTAAAGCTCTCAGTAGCAGTTGACACAGGTGACCACTCCCTCCTCCTTGAAACACTTGCTTCTACAAAACTACACATTTCTGATTCTCCCCTTTCATCAGTGCCTACTGCTCTTTCTTCTTTGCTGGGTTCCCCTCCTCTTCTTGGATGACAAATGTTAAGACTGCCTCAGGTCCTCGGCCCAGTTCTCTTCTCTGTTCATTCTTTCACAGTATGATCTCACCTAGTCTCAAACAACGACAGTGACTCCACCTGCAATCTCCATACTAGTATCCATGCAACTGCTGACTACTCAACATCTCCACTTAGTATGTATTAGAACTTCAAACATTCACTATTGAAAATAAAACTCTTGATTCTTTCTGTTCACTACCTTCCTCCTCCCCACCCTTCAATGTGCTCCTTCTCGATTCTTCTCCTGTCAGTTAGCAGCACCACCATGCACCCACTTGTTCGGACTCAAAACTGAAGAGCTCTCTGATTCCTTCCTTTTTGTCACCTCAACTTCCCTCTACCAATAATCCAATCCATTAGCAAGTTCCATTAGCCCTATCTCCAAAATATCTCCTGAATCTCACTGTCTTAGCATTTCCTTTGCTACCAGAAAAGTCCAAGCCACCAAAGTTGTTCACTTGGACTACCTAATTCATCCCCAGTCGAACCCTCCTCAGCTAGTCATTTGTCACACAGCAGCCCACGTCAAAACACAACAGTGACTTTCAACAGCACTAAGAATAAAACTTGAACTTCCTACCCTTCCTACCAGGCCCACTCCTCCAGCCTCATCCACCTGCTCTCTCTCCTCACTTGGCATACTACGATCACACCTGTGCCTCCTCTGGTCCTTCTCCATGTCCAGTGCATTCTCACGTGGGGACCTTTGCACTATCTGCTCTTGGCACTGAAAACTCTTTCCTGTATCTTCACACGATTGGCTCCTCTTCATCATTCAAGTTTCTGCTCAAATGCCACCTCCCGTAGAGAGGCCTTCCCCGAAGGCTTTATCCAAAACACTTTCTCTGAACACTTTATCCAACACAGCTCTCTTGTAATCATTCATCACAAAAAGTACTTTTGACTACGTGAAATTGCCTTCTCATTTACTCACTTGTTTATTACCCTTTTCCTCAATGGGAAACCTTCCCTGAGACATCCACCATATATCCCAATACTTAATACAGAGATGCTTGCACATGGTAACTTCTCAATAAGTGTGGAGAATGAATGAACAAAATGAGAAGGATCATGCGGTATGAAGAACAATTGGAAGATGGAATTATTTAAACCGGAATTTTGAGAAGAAAGGAAAAACCTAATCACTGGCTCCGAATTTCTGTAGGAGCAAAAATATGGAAGGAGAGCTCTATTTATTCTGTTTTCCAAAGGCAGGACTCAGACCAACAGTGGCATGCTATAAAGTGACATGTTTGAAAACCACTTTCTAACAAGGGCAGAGTCTCAAAATTGAAATGAGCTTCCACAAAAGGTAGTGCTCAGTGGCAGTGCTTTGACAGAGGCTTGATCATCACTTATAAGAGATAAAAGACAAGTTTCAGAGCCTAGGTCTGTCATGCTGGACAAGTCATCCTTCCCCTTGCTGGATCTCAGCTGCATATTAAACGCATTATTAAATAAATCTCAGCTGCATTATTAAACACAATAAAATTGGAAGAGAATTACCGATTTGTCCAAGGCCTTTCCAACTTTAAGACTAGGAATCAGGTTAAGTTCAGCAAGGCTCGAAAATACTGTCCTCTACATCATACACTCTGCAAATGCGAAGTCTGTATCTCTCTTGCTCACTGCTGTATCCCTAGGACCTGGCAAATTATACGAACTCAACAAACAGCTGATGGGGCAGGCATGAAAATGGGGAAGTCGTTAACATGGAAAAGAGATCTGTCAATCAGTCTGTCCACATTTTCCTCCTCGGTGTGTGGCAGGGACTGTGAACATCCAAAGAAGCCCAAATGGAAGCGTTCTCTGGAACAGAGAACTTTACAAAAGTTGCAACAAAGCTCACTGACCCTGATTACCTCTTGGTCCAGCTTCTGGCGCAGTGACGGCAGTATCCTCGTCTCCCAATGCCGGCCATCTCCCCAGGGAACCGTCAACCTCCTCTGGGCATCGCCGAGTCGGGGGCTGACCCAGGTCCAGCTAAAACAGAGGCTAGGGCCGAGGAGACGGGCGGCTGCCCCACGAGTGGGACGATCCTAAAGAGCTCGAGGGTGAGGGGGCCGGAAAGTGACTCACCTCAGGAAGGGACTTGCCGCAGCTGAGACTGTAAATCTTCACCTCGTTGAGGCTGGAGACTTGCATGGCGGCGCCGAGAAGCAGTGAACACCGTTCAAGTTCCGGCTCCTTTCCCACCCGCGCACTCCAACACCGGAATCCCAGACCCTCCGAGCCCTTTCTCCGCGGCGTGCGGCCGCTGGCGCCGGCTGATGACGCACTTCCGGGCGCCGGAAACACGTGCGCGCACGTCCCAGGAAGAGGGAAGGTGGCTGAATCCGGGAAAAGCGGTGGCCGGGAGGAAAACGAATGATGTTCTGGCAACGCGGCGCGGCTGTAGGCGACGCGGCCACGGGCAAGACTAGATACTGCTCTCCCTGCTGTTAACATCCCGAGCGGCAGGAGGAGGCTTTCGGGTCTCTGCCCAGGCCTAGATATCCTCACCAGCGGGGGCGAGACGGTTCACACAGCGTGTGAACGTAGCCAGCGAAGGCGACCAGGGTGCGAATTCCGAGTGGAAGTGTATTCTTTTCTCTCCTCCAATGTTTCTGCGATGTTACATCAGAAATACTGTAGGCCAGGTGCCGTAGCTTATGTCTGTAATCCTAGCACTTTGGGAGGTCGAGGCGGGCGGATCACCTCAGGTCAAGAGTTCAAGACCAGCCTGGCCAACCTGGTGGAACCCCCGTATCTACTAAAAATACAAAGATTAGCCTGGCCCGGTGGCGCGCGCCTGTAATCTCAGCTACTCTGAAGACTGAGGCGGGGGAATCGCGTGAACCCGGGCGGCAGAGGTTGCAGTGAGCCGAGATCGCCCGCTGCCCTCCAGCCTGGGTGACAGAGTGAGACTCTTGCATTTAAAAAAAAAAAAAAAAGTCATTTTATTTCTTCAGAAATAGAAATTTTCGGGCCTCCAAACCCTAGTTTCTGCATATTTGAATATGATCACGATTGTTTACCCGCCCCCAGTCTTAATATCACTACAACTAAATGCCTTAACTGAACTCCTCTCAATGTTCTTTTTTGTTTGTTTGTTTTGAGACGGAGTCTGTCTGTTGCCAGGCTGGAATGCAGTGGCGCAATCTTGGCTCACTGCAACCTCTGCCTCCCGGGTTCAAGCCATTCTCCTGCCTCAGGCTCCGGAGTAGCTGGGATTACAGGCACACGCCACCACACCCAGCTAATTTTTTTATTTTTAGTAGAGATGGAGGTTTCACCATGTTGGCCAGGATGGCCTCCATCTCTTGACCTCGTGATCTGCCCACCTCAGCCTCAAAGTGCTGGGATTATAGGCATGAGCCACCGCGCCCGGCCTCTGTGCTCTTTTGCTTGGTTAATAGCATTACTGTTTTCACAGTCACCTAGGCTAAAACTGTAGAGTCATCTTCAAGCCATTCCTATCTCTGGCCCCCACTTTCAGTATCTAAATCTGGACATTTCTAATTATGAAATATTTCTTTAATCTTTTCATTCCTCCCCAAAACTCAAATACTTATTATTTTTGTATTATCACTTTCCCAACTGATCTTCCTACCTCCTTTTTTTGATTTAATGAATAAATTATTTTATGCTTTTATAAAACCCAAATGTTATTTTTTTGCTCTTCTACCCAGAACATTTTGGAAACTCTTGAATACCAACACCACATTGCATGTGAATTAAGCTGAGAGTTCTTCGTGGACCCTATGTCATTTGTCTTTATGTTTTCTGTCCTCCCCATCCACCCCTACCCAGAGTACCAGAACAGTGCCCTGCCTCTATTAGACATTGCCACATATTTTCATTTAGCCATGTACGTAGGGATACGTTCCTAAACTCTCCTCAAATCCTCCATGAACTAATTTTTAATTTTCTGCACTAGTTACAGTTAAAAAAAAAAAAACAAAACTGTAAACGTCCTTGGGAAAGGTGGCGTAATAGAATGGTTAGATCACAGACTAGCTTGGCTTGGTGGCACAGGCCTATAGTCCTAGCTACTAGTAAAGCTGAAGTGGGAGAATCACTTGAGCCCAGGAGTTCTTGGCTGTAGTATGCTGTGAGCATTGGGTGTCCTGAGTTTGGCATCAATATGGTGACCCCACAGGAGCCAGGGACCACCATATTACGTAAGGATGAGTGAAGTGGCCCAGATCAGAAATGGAGCAAGTCAAAACTCCCATGCTTATCAGTAGTGGGATCATGCTTGTGAATAACACTGTACTTCAGCTTGGGCAACATAGCAAGACCCTAACTCTTGAAAAATAAATAAAGATCACAGACTCTGAAACCAGACTGACAGTGTTCAAATCCTGACTGCCATTGTCAACTGAAAGATCTTAGGTAAGTTACTTAGCCTCTCTGTGCCTGTATAAAATGGAGATAATACTATCCACTTCACAGCGTTATGAGGATGAAATACATTAAGGTTTATATAGTGCTTGGAACCCAGTACTTGGTACATAGCAAGACCATGTAAGTGTTTGTAAAATAAAACAAAATAAATGCCATACACCAAATAAATGAAAATAATCCAAATTCCATTAGAATTTCCTTTTAAACACTTTTATTGAGATATAACTAACATACTATAAAATGTACTCACTGAATGTACAATGTAATGACTTCTAGTATATTCAGAGTTGTGTAACTCACCACAGTCATTTTTAGAACAAAAAGAAACCCCAGCCTCAATTAGCATTCACTCCATGCCCCATCCCCTACCCAAGTACTAGACAGCCTCTAATTTACTTTCTGTTAGGGTTGTGGGTTTTTTCCCGTGGGGCGTCTCACTTTGTCATCCAGGCTGGAATACAGTGGCATGATCATGACCGACTGCCGCCTGAAACCCATGAGCTCAAGCTGTCCTTCAGCCTCAGCCTCCTGAGTAGCTGGGAGTACAGGCATATCACCACAGCTAGCTAACTGTTTTGCTCTCATAGAGATGGGTCTACCAGTTGAAGATCCCTAATCCAAATATTTCAAATCTGAAATGCACCAGTGAGCATTTCCTTTTGAGCATCACATTGAGACATGGAAAGTTTCAGGTTTTGGAGCATTTTAGATCAGATTTTCAGATTATGGATACTCAACTTGAATTTTATAAGGACACCAATCCCATTCATGAGAGTTCTGCCCTTAAGACCTAATTATGGCCAGGTGTGGTGGCTCACACCTGTAATCCCTGCACTTTGGGAGGCCGAGGCGGGCAGATCACTTGAGGCCAGGAGTTCGAGACCAGCCTGGCCAATATGGCGAAACCCTGTCTCTACTAAAAATACAAAAATTAGCTAGGCGTGGTGGTGGGCACCCATAGTCTCAGCTACTCAGGAGGTTGAGGCATGGGAATTGCTTAAATTCCAGAGGTAGAGGTTGCAGTGAGTTGACATCGTGCCACTGCACTCCAGTCTGGGCGACAGTGAGCTCCTGTCTCAAAAAAAAAAAAAAGGACCTAATCAATGTCCCACCTAATCCCATCACACTGGGTGTTAAGACTTAAAGCTATGAATTTTGTGAGGAACATAGCACTCTTTGTCCTGAGAGTCATAGTTTTTTGTTTCATACATTTCAGCTTTAGGTAATATGAAAAACAGCATAGCTCTCTG